ATTTTTCAATATTTTTTTATAAAAATACAGGTGAAAAATCAGTCTTGTATTCAAATCACGTATAAACCATTTGATTTTTTTTAAAATAAATTAATGTTTTGTCTACATAAATTATTAGCATCGTTACAAGTACGTGCTTTGGTAAGCAAAAATATTGTTAACGGCATCATGGCTCAACCAGGAATTTTCACTTATCACGTACATATTCAACACAACACCGAGACTATGGTATACATCATTGCGGTGGATCCATTGTCGGGCCTTCATTTGTTGCAACCGCAGCGCACTGTGTTGCCGAATTTAATAATAATTCCTTCAAAGAATCGATTACAGTGACAGCAATCTACGATCCGATTCTCCAACGAAGGTCAATGTTTCGGTTGACAAGATTTACGTACCTTTATCATTTCGACAATCTACGAGTTTTTCTTCAAAGGGTGACATAGCCATACTACGAGTACGCAGATCGTGTTTTCCATTCTTTTTTTTAAACTCCCTAGTTATGTTAGATGTGCTTCGCGAGCTTTAGTTATTTTATTATTTAATTTGATTTTCATTTACGAGAGTTTTTCTATTTCGTTGCTCAATTTTAATTTACAACCGAACATAATAACTTTCCTGCAATCTCTATCATGTCAAAAGTGAGAAAAATTATCTATCATTCGAATCCTTTATTCAAAGTAATAATTGTATCAACAATATTTTAATTTTTGAAACCATACCAAATCCTAAAGTAATGTACTATTCTTGAAAATTATAGTTGAATTTAAGAGTAAAAACAAATCAAATAGTATCCAACTCCAGATAATTATTGTAATACAGATTAATTTTTTATTTCATTTATTACTACCATTTAACGAAATTGATATTTAAAATAATTTTTCTCAGTTAACCATTTGATCTATTTAAATCTAAAAATATCATCTATTTAGTTATCTTACATTATAAAATTTTAATTGTTCCAAATATTGGCTTTTTAAGGTTATTTTTTAAAACTCATTTTCAAATTCACCAGCTCTTCGTGATTCTCGTCCAATCACATCAGAACGAATAAAAATGCTTCAGTCACGTGACAATCATTCTTTTAACATAGGAAAACAATGGCGCAATCCGCATAATGCAGATGATTTTCAATTCTTTTTTTTTTCAGCTCAGTGAACAACTCAATTTACGAATCAATATTCATTTAAGTATGCTTGAATTACCACCCGACACTCCAAAGTATCGACATCTTGCCAATAGAGATGCATACATAACAGGATTTGGTGTGGATCTTGTACTGAAGACGCCTGATCGTGTGCACCCATCTTTTCAAATATTACTGTTCATTTAATCTGAATTACGCAGCTGCTACCATTTTCAGCAATAGTTTCTGCAAGGAATTGGGCACAGCATACAACGAGGACCACCACATATGTGCGCGAATTCAGCAATTGTCATCGATACCGGAAATTGCGCCAAGTGGCGTCTGTAGAGTATGTATTAGTATTTATCGTAATGACATGAGATTATCCATGAAATATTACAAAACATTTTCAGGGCGATAGTGGAGGTCCATTGGTTTTGCAGAATGAATATCTCATCGGCATATTATCAACCACTATTCAAGATTGTAGCGAGTTACGTTGCGGCAGTATTTATACGTCCACCCTCAAGTACAGAAAATTTTTTGCGAAAGCTTTAGCTGACGATTGTGACAGTAAGCAAATCTATTGCGCAAACAAATAATCCAAATCTTTATCTTAAGCTTTGTAACGACATGCCTTTTTTATTTTTGATAAAGATATATACTCAATTTGCATAAAAGCAACAGTAACTGAAATTCGTTATTTTTGGGATTATTTGAGATCTGCAATAACACCACTACGTGCTGTTGTAAAAACTGTGTGTTACATTGATTCAATTTTTCGTTAAAACGTTGATAACAAACAATACAAATAAACGCATATGTTCAGAAAGCAATTGGGTTGCAATGAAGCCAACGTAGTATACACTGTTTTTGTACGTAAAAATTCTCAAAAAACTACACTGAGAGAAAAAAATAATGAAAATTATAGAGGAATTTCAGCAAAAGTTACCATTGTGCACTGGAAATCAAATAACAATTTGACAATAAAAATTATGCTTTCTATTGTAAAAATTATGGTTAGACAAGTAAAAACTACCATGCGGGAAAGTAAAATTTATCAACCGATCCTTTCAAGGTTGACTGTTCTAGCAAAGTAATTTTAACTGTTCTAACCATAATTCTAACTATCCAAACCATAATTGTAACTGTTAAAGCAATAGTATTTACTATTAAAAGTAATAATTTTTTCCTTTTTTGCCAACTTGCATCCAATTTACTGTGCGGAACGGCAATTTTTTCTGGAACTTCTTTATAATTTTGATTGTTTATTTCTCTCCGAGTGCATAGAATCATCCACATCTAGTTTATGAAACAGTGTAGTTATAATTGTCCTCTTTAGTTCAGTGAGACGTAAAGATTAATCAACGCTCACTTGAGGACCAAATAAATACGTAGACACAAATTTATTGGAATAACGACTTTTCTCTGGTCATGATTGCCAGCCTCATCAGGCTAATTTTCATTAAAAAACAAGATTGACGCAATATATAAATGTGTGAGTAGAAAAACACTCGTGTCGACAACATCGTGTGTATAGCAGTGGACAAACAAAAAGGTATTTCACTTATCTAATTCACTTATTATGGTGAGTATCAGGGATATGAAGAATATCTCGGCGACACATCAGATTTACAAGACATTATGTAAGTATGGATCAAACGTATCCAATGCATCCAAATCAGTTGCACGTAAATGTTATTCAAATGTGCCACAGAACTTCTTTTATTACTTTGGCTTTTAACAAATGGTCATAGAATGGCTCTTTTAAAAATAAAAATTAGANATAGTTAATAGACAACAGCTGCAAAATACTTTCATAATACAAATACTTATAAATGTAATTCTTGATCATTGCGGTGCATAGAGCTAATTACAAAAGTCTGCTTTGATAAGTATTTATTAAAGTTAAGTGGGTAAATTATTAAATTAGAAAAACTTTTTTGTCGAAACAATATTATTTACCATTGAAATTAAGTACGAATTATCTTTTTGCCAAATTAATTTTACCACCTTTTTTTCTGCCAATTATATTGTCACGAGTTTTTCAAAAATATCGAACAACCCTATATCGTAACTATTTTCTATATGTGAGTTGGATTGGAGGGGATAAAAAAGTTGATTGAAGCGTTCATGGTGGCCAAAATATTGTTAGTTTTCGGAACACAGAAGCCTAAATTCCAGTTAGTGTACTTACGATTGATCTTTTTCGCCTAGATCTTAAAACTTGACATTATTTTGACATATTACATGCGTAAAAGTTATAGATTAATAAATAAGGAATTCCTGTAATTGTATTTGATAAAACAACTCGTAATAGTAGTAATATTATAAATTATAAGCGATTATGATATAGTAAAAGGAATAAAATAACACGTTGCATTCTCTTTATCATCTGCAGTGCAAGTTTAGTGCATGTTAGTTGAAAGACCTGCAGGCATTTTCATGGTTGCATAAATAATCATGTATAAAATTACAATTACTGAATACACCATCGTCAAAAATGTCTCTATAAACTCCTTGTTTACTTATCTATAACTTTCACCGATACTGTTAGTCAGAATTATGCTTTGACTTTAAGATTTTCGTGATAAGACTACTTTATACTTACTAGTTATGTCAGGTTATATCACAAGCGCTTCGCGTGCCTTAATTGTTTTGTTACTCGATTTGATTTAGATTTACGAATATTTTTCTATTTCGTTATTAAATTTTAAAACACAACCAACCAAAATAACTTTCTTGCATTTTCTATCATGTAAAAAGCTAATAGTGTATCTAACTCCAGATGATCGTAACAACGCAGATTAATTTTCTTTCAATTATGACTTCAATTTAACGAAATTGATATTTAAAATAATTTTTCTCAGTTAACCATTTGATCTATTTAAATCTAAAAATATCATCTATTTAGTTATCTTACATTATAAAATTTTAACTACGTCAAACATTGGCTTTTTAAACTATATTATATAAAACTCATTTTCAAATTCACCCGCTCTTCGTGAGTCTCGTCCAATCACAGGTCGTAAAAAAAGGCTTTAATCACGTTGCAATAAGTTTTTTGTCATAGGATACAGAGCTATACGATTTTTTTGGGAGCTCGTCCGTTTGGAACTAATAGAGATGCTCAGAGGAGTTCATATAGCGAATAACTAGGAGTAAAAATTCTCGACTGTACAGTAAACCTATTCATGCTCTGAGTTATCCATACTCCATTACTTTTAATAAATATAATTATTTAATTTTATGGATTTTATGAAAGATTACATTTTTGGATCATATGGATTAATAAATCTTTAATAAGAATTTTTTTCATGATTATCAATTTGTCGTACAATGTCAATTTTTCGTAAACAAATTTAATAAGGCCTTAAATTTAACTTGTATAAAATTATGAATACTTATAAAAATTTTTTTTAGTACTGTGGCACCTACAGCATATTGGACTAGACCTTGTCTAACTACTGTCATTTAAAATAACTACCACTCTTCTAATACGGTTTCATAATACACTTATAACATAGTCTACTTTTAACTTGTTTTAATGATAACTACGTTGACCGCTATAACCTAATTTTCATACAAGTAGAAAACATTTTTTTAACAAAGTGCATATATTTACTTGGAATTGAATCTATTTCGATATCAATAATAATTGACAGTACTCGGCATGTTGGTTATAAAAATATTCAACTAAATTGTTTGATAATTGACACTTATGTAATGTTTCATCATGAAGTGTATTATTTACAAAAAATAGGTGTGTAAAAAGTGAGGATATAAAAATATCCACGTACAAGTTATGATAAAAAGTTATGATACATTGCATAATAGAAAAAAGACTTTGAAAAAAGGATATCATAAAACTTGAATCGCGTTGGAAAATTTTTTTATTATTTTTTGAGACTATTAAGTATTAAATAGTGTCAATAGAGATACTTTTTATAAATAAATTGAAATCTATTTCTTCATCCCCAGAACGTGTTTTGTCATGACAACATAATGACTGATACAGATCCAAGTTCATGTTACATAATATTATAAAAACAAATTAAGCTTTTCATAGCTTATAAAATACTTTTCAAATTTTGATGATAGTTACACAGATAAGAAAATGTTTTTATGGCGAAGTGTCAAACAAATTTTAATATTTTTTTTAACAATCGATGATAGCGGATATTCCTTTTATTCAAGAAGCTATCATAATTTTCATGTTTATCAGGCACTATAAATGGCTGGCTTACCTTTTTTTGTTTCACACCTTTGCTGCTGATATATTTATCGTTATTATAATGGACTCTAGAATTGAATAACTCAGAATCATATAT